AGGCCCTAGCCTAGGGTCTCGAACATGCTCAGGCCCGGACCCAAACGAGTCTGCCCCGGGCCGTGGGCGGGCTTTGGGCAGCCCACGGGCGATGGGCCAATTCTACATTCCTATTAATGTGCATGTTAACATGTCAATGTGAATATTCACATTGTCAACGGGCCGGGCCGGGCCGGACCTACCCCGGGCCGCAGGCAAGCTTCGAGCAATGGGCAAATTTTACATTCCTATCAATGTTAATGTTAACATGTCAATGTGAATATTCATATTGTCAACGGGCCGGACCGAGCCTGTCCCTGGCCGCTCATGGGCCGCGGGCGGGTTTCGCGCCGCTATGGGACGCGGGCCAATTTTACACTCCTATTAATGTAAATGTTAACATGTCAATGTGAATATTCACATTGTCAACGGGCCGAGCCCGCCCTGAACCGACTCGAATTTTTTTGGGCACCCACGAGGATCGACATGGGCCGGGCCCCTACACATTGACGATATGAACATTCACATTGACGGTGTGAACATTCACATTAGGGGTATTTTGGTAATTATTTCACCCATAGGACTTATTGAAACATAAGAAAATATTGTGAGCTAAATGGAACATAAGTAGATGAAAAGGGTATTTTTGTCTTCTTATCTCAAATAGGACCTAATGGAATAGTCAAAAAGAATATGGGTTGGATGGAATAAAACTCTTAGAAAGTAGATTTATCAAAAAAGCTCCCTTTTAAATATACCTTCACTTTTTCTGTGTACATCCTCTCCTACCATCATTGGCAAGTGGTGATTGACAATACCAACTGTCTAGCTAAATTTCGTTGTTGGGAATCTACCGAGTCCAGTAAATAGAGTCTTACCAGGATGTCCCTAGTTACATCATCATCAAGCTTAAGCCTATTAAACAAGCTCCTCAATTTCTCCTCTTCTTCCGCATTCCAAGGCTTTGTCTCAAGGTCTCTTAAACAGGACAAAACACCCCTGGTGAACATGATGACTGCTGATACCTCAAGTATATCAATGGACTGATAAACCCCAATCTTCAAAAGCCGCTTAGGGATATCATCATCAAACATCAGCTCAATTGTCTCATGAAACACATTCAAGTTCTCCACCTCATGAACCTCAATCCTACACAAATTAGCAGCCAAACTGGTTACACCCTTTCAATAATCCGCAATCAGGTCTGCAAAAACCAAACTACTCGCACTCAACACCTCTGAATTCAGCTCCAGCACCAGAGAACCCCCACTCTTCCCCTTCAAGTTCAACCTCACATCAAAAATTCCAAAACTACCGTCCTTCTCCTTCACACTATTATCAGCTGAACCTAAACCCGAACCTGATGAACCATTGGGCATTGGTGACATCACCGATCTCGACTACACATTCGTGATTGAAACCATAATTTCTAGCAGCGAATTGACTGTGGGGTGGTCGGAGTCGATGTGGGAGATGCGGTCGGGGCACAAAATCGGACGTGGGTCAATTCGGCCAACGAAGCCAAGCCAGCTACTCCAAGGCGAGTTCGAGAACGAACTAGCAGATTTCGAGGGCGTTTCAGGCTTGGGAGAAGGTTTGGGATGAAAAAAAAGGGTTTTTAGGGCTGCGGGAGCCAGTCAGTCAGTTCAGTACTTTTAATCAGCTCAATTATCAGTCATAATCAATTCAGTTTAACGGTAATCAGTGTCTATCGGTAATCAATCAGTCATTAATCGGTAAGTAGTATGAGGGTTGTTACAGCATGGGTGGTTGACAGTGGTGGTGTGGTTTGTAATGGGTTGAATTATCCATTTTTTGTGAGCTCTGATCCAGGTGAGGCGACTCAGATCAATGTTGTGTATGGTTGAGGTTTGGGCATGGGAGGCGATGGCTAGCGATGGCCAGCGGTGAAGTAGCTAGTGAGATGGTGGTCGGTGAGATGTGTATGGAGAAAATATGAGATATGTGGGTGAGGTGGTGGTGGGTGAGATGGTAATTTTGTTGAAGGATAAAATTATGATTCTGAAAAAATTCATTAAGTGTGTGAAATAAGAAATCTTAGTATGTGGAAATAAAATTTTCCCACAAAAAGTTAAAAAAAAATCAACTTTTAACCTACTTCCCAAAATACCTCTGAGTGTCTAAGACTTATTTTGACAAATTAATTAAAAATTAATTTTTTTAAATCACATCAATTCTTATTTTTTTATATATTTTTTCAAAAAAAATAAACACAAAACTAAAAAACTACTAGTTTTTCATCAACTTTTCAACACAATCGTGAGACTTTTCCATAATTACGTAAGAAAAGTACCTTTCAACTATGAGAACATCCCCACACTCACTAATTCAATTGGGTTGGTACTTTTTGTTTTGTAGTTATTGTTGCTATTCAACACCTCATTTATTATAATATTTTCGCATTCAATGCCAACAAATTAAAAACTAGGCATGTGAGTGACCGAATTGACCATTCAACCATAGGGAATGTAACCATATGTGTGTAAGTAATAGATTCCGTTTTCTGGTAAAAGGTCAAAAAGCACATTTTGTTTTTGGGTGTTCAGCATGTGCATAATATCTTTAAACTCCACCAACAGATTTTAAATTTCACAAAAATTCTTTTGACAACTTAGTTAATATCAAAATCAATTCTCAATCTTCTCAAATCCTTATCCTATGTCCATCCTAACTAGAAGTCACTATTATCAGCTCCAACCATTACCCCTAACTCTGACTACCCTTCCCCATCAGTCTACAACTTTTACCAATCTTTCAACCCATCATTACCCTTCACTCCAACTAGCTATCACTAACAAAAAGAGAGACAGAAAAATTACAGTAGACAGGTAAACAACAAAATCGAAAAAGTAAAAAGAAAAATTATGGAGCATTGAGGTAGTAGAGGCCACAAGGATAGGAAGGCTATAGGTGTAAGGGTTGCGAGTGTGGGGCTAGAGTATGCAGGGGAGTTAGAGAAACAATAGAGAGTAGGGAGTAGATCAGAGGCTGGAATGAACTAAGGAGTGGTAACCAAAGTCAAAGAAGAGTTGGTAGGCAATTCAGAAAACGGCAAAAGGGTAATGAGGGACTAGGGGTGGCCACTTGAGGAGCGGAGGAATTGGAAGTGGTAGTTTGGATAGGGTGATGAGGGATTAGAGTTAGGGCTTGGAAGATTAAAGATGGGTAAGATTGAAATTTTAAGATAAGGTAAAATTATGAATAAGTGAAAAATAAAAGAAAATGATATACTATTAGCAGCACATTTTTTTGTTTTTTTATGATGTTTGTGGCCTTTGGTTATGAGTTATTGTGGTCTTAGTTATAATTTGCTTATAACCTAAGAAGCACAAACACTTCTAATAAGGTTGTATGTCTGTGTCATGTCCATGTAGACACGGGCACTCATCGAACACTTCCTAATATGTGTCTGATACTCATCTAAATGTGTTTTATTTAATTTTTATTTTTAAAAAAATTAGACTTGAACACATGTGTCTATTACATAAACACACATATCTATTAATTAGACACACAAAACTGATTATAAGTATGAATAAAATAACCTAAAATGCAATTATAAAAGTAAAACAATGTCAATATATTAAAATTATTATATTGCATTTATTTATTATTTTGGAATGATATATTTATCTATGATATATATTAAATAGGTAACGCTATGGTACAAAAGGGTGTGTACCATATGCAAGTTAAGTCATTTGTGAGTTTGATTACCACAAATGGTATAACTCAATATTATGAGAGTCATAACTAAAAAAAATAAAAATAAAAAATGAGTCATACTCAGATATCACATAAGATATAATAAAGAACTTTTTGATCATAATTAAAATAATCTCATAACTAATATCACAATGAGTCATTATTAACAAAATACAATAAGTCATAACCAAAAATACAAATGACGTAACTAATGGTGCATATGGTATACACCTGAAATACCATAGAATTTTCCAAAATAAATATATAAAATTATATATTTTGTGTCATTTACGTGTCGTGTCCTGCATGTTTTTAAAATTATTGTGTCAGTATGTTCGTGTCGTATTGGTATTGTGTTGCATATTCGTTCTTTTTAGCATATGACTCGCGGTGTAAATTATAACTCATTGCGATCTTTGTTATGACTTATTGTAATTTTTATTTTAACAGCTTAAAAAAAAATTAGTCCAACATTTAAATAAATGGACAACCTTAGCTATTCTTCACCTCACAATTGATGTGGGACAAATACAAATCCACTACACTTTTTAAAATGTCTAATTTAACATTAAACAATGTAGTAGACATTGGATACTCTCTAATGTGTCATCAATACATCAGTACATAATATGAAAAATAAAATCTATTTAACCAATCATACTTCATATTTATATTTAACCATCATATAATATTATTGTATAGAAAAAGTAATGACGGTAAATAACCTTTAAACCAATGGGGTATCCAATCAACTGTTCACCTTAATGTGCGATGAATATAAATCCCCCACACTCCTAAACAACTAGTGTAACATTTAAGAAGATAATAGACATTATATATGATCTAATGTGACACTAAGACATTAGTACACATATGAAAAATAAAATTTTTATAATCAATCAGATCATATCCAAAAGTCAATGTCCAAATTTAATCATCATACAATACTATTGCACAGTAAAAATAGTGTCAGCAAGAAAAATAAAAAGAGAATGGCATCAACGAAGAGAACTTTTTCAATTTTGTGTAGTTTATGATATTTTGACATTTGGATTAAAAACTAATTTTTTGATTTTTTGAATTTTTTAGATCACATCATTTTTTTATTTTTTATTTTTTGTACATTTTTTAAAAAAAATTAAAAAAAAAAGTTCAAAAATTAGTTTTTAAGTCTAAATGAAGAAATACAAGTCAACGATTGCAAATTCACAAAAGCTGAGGGAGGTTTTGCGAAGAGGACCGCCCAAAAATAAAATAAAATAAGTCATATTTTAGTACTAATTAATAAATAATTAATTAATTGAGTTGGCACCATACTGTTTTTGAAAATTGAGATTCGAAACAGCGACAAAAAACCAAAGGAAGAAGAAGAAGAGGAAGAAGAAGAAGAAGAAGATTTCTCTTGCAAGCTCTGCAAATCTTCTTTTCCGTACATTCTTCTCCATCTGCTATACTCTCTCTCTCTATCTGTGAAATTCATAGAGAGAGAGAGAGTAAGGAGAAACTCCAAGGGTGCTTCGACCGGGAGGAGAATCAACTTGAGCTAAACTGTGAGAGAGAGAGAGAGAGGTGGAAGATTATGGATTTTTGTTCGATGTATTGTTGGGGAAAAGGTTTTGATCGGTTTCATCATTCGTAGCCGAAGCTTCAAAAACAAAGAGGAGAGAGAAAGTTTAGAGAGAGAGAGAGAGAGGGAATAGCGTTGCAAGGGTATGGATTTCATCTCGATGTTTTGTTGCGGAAAGGGTTTGGATCGGTAAGCGTTCACTCTATCAATTCGATTGCTCGAAGCCAAGCCTACTCTGTTTAATTTTAATTTTAATTTTAATTTTTTTAAAAATACCATGTTGTTAGTGTGATTGAGCTTTGATGGTCTTCCTTAATCTCAAATGATGATTGGGTAGTGATTAATTTAAGATAGGACATACATAACTCGGTTCGTAAGAAATTTTTTCCCCTCTGTTTGGTTGCTGAGAAAATCAAAAAAAAAAAAAAAAAAAAAAAAAGCCTATCTCTGCTGTAGTTACTGACATAATGTACAGTACTAATTGATTTTGTTTAGAATTCTGAAATTTAACGTATGCAATTGAGTTGAAATATGAATTGGAATTCTTTTGGGGACAAATTTCATTTTACCACCCTGTTGCTTTTGTCATGTCCTGATTAACCCTCTTATTTAGAAATAACCAGATAACCCCTTTGCAGTTTGGGAACTGAAATTTACCGTTAAATATTGCGTCCAACCTATCAAGAAGTTTATGTGCTCCTTTTCAAATTTTAAGTGATAAGTTGTACATTGAATAAAGCACATGGCATTTTGTCTCTCAAACTAACGGTACATTTCAGTCCACAAATCACAAGAGGTTTTTTCCAAATGAGAGGGGGTAATCCACACATGGGACAAATCACAAGGGTAAAGTGAAATTTGTCCTTTTTTATTTTTTATTATTTCTTTCTGTTGTGTGATGATATATAAATTGCACAGGAAAGGACAAGGGAAGAAGAAGCAAGTGACATGGAGGATTTTTTCTTTGAAGGAATTGCATTCTGCCACAAACAATTTTAATTATGACAACAAGCTCGGAGAAGGTGGATTTGGCAGTGTTTATTGGGGTCAGCTATGGGATGGATCTCAAGTAATGAACCAAATTTCTGTCTCTATTTATTTTGTTTTTAAATAGTTATTATGCACATATAGGTATTATTTTGAACTACATATACAATCAAATTGTCAAGTAATACTGCTGTTCTTGGGAAATAGTTAAGCATTATTTGATATAAAGATTTTGTTTTCCTTTTTGATAAGTTTGTTATAAAGAAAAGGTTTTCCTAATATGATTTGTTTGGGGATCATTGTACTCTCTTGGGTTTTGAACTTCATGAAAAATTCTTCAAGGTTGTTTAAAAGTTTTAGAAAAAAAAAGGGGAAAAAAAAAAAAGAAAGAAAGAAAAAGAAAACAAATTTGTATGTTCTCACCTTTTTTGTTGGATGAATTTATGATATTGTAGGACTTGCTTGCACACCCTCTTGGGTGATTTTGCAAGTCAAACTCTGTTCCTTAATATTTTCTTTGAGATGAAACGCTCTACTTTTAAAATTTTGTATCAGTAATGGAATTGATCTCCTTTTACACTGAGTAGCAAGCTTCGGAGTTAGCTTATGCCTTTAGACATAGATGAGCTCAAACATCTCTCCTAATCATCAATTTAGCATTATAGAGAGGGCTCTATGAAACCTCGTAGAAACGCAAAGCAATGTGGTATTTTAGAGAGGGCGATATCAATCTCACACTTGTAATTGTAGATTGCAGCTGACATTTTGACTTCTTGATACATAACTAATGATGAACTTTGGGCCTTAAGAGAACCTGTAGACATTTTAGTACAATCTGAGGTTTGAGGATAAACACGGGAAGAATTTGTTTGGAATGAACTTTGAGCGTAGGCACTTCGTACTCTAATACCTATGTTATCGCTTCTTGTTCATGTGCTACGTAACACCTAGTGATGTAATGGTTGGAGAAGATGCTTTCACTTTGAAGGAAATGTTAGAATGTTGGAGTTTTTAGTATTTCTTTCACTATGACCATATGTATCATTTTAAGGTTGATAAGGACAAAAGATATTTAGTGTGTTAGAACTTAGAAGAGAGGAAAGCCAAGGCCTTCATATGGATTAGGACAAGGTTTCAAAAGGGAAAGTGGCCGGCTTGCTATTTAATTTTTTTCAGTATGAGGACATCTTAAGCAGTTCTGTTTGGAAGTTTGCAAGAAGCATATATACTCTCCACACACTTCTGTCAATGAGAAAGAATGTTCAGAAATTATTGTTGTCTAGAGAATTGAAGAGGACACCAAGGGGTTTTTTTTTTTTTTTTTTCTTATAAATATATTAATTATTTTCTAGTTCAGTAAAACAATAGTGAAAAGAAAATATATTTTGGTCCAATATTTAACAAAAAGAGAAGTTGGTTTATTTTAAGGCTTTGACATACTATTTTTTTAAATTTGTTTGATATGACTGGAAGTTGATCTCAGCATCCACTTGAACTTGTACTTCATAATTGTGTCCCTTCGCATGTTTTTTCTAGTGTACCCATATTTCCACCATATATGAGAATGATGAGGGTATGAAAGTTTTGTTCAACCCTAATACTCAATTAGACACTTGGATCCTTCAAATTTTTTACAATGTTTGAGGATGGAGAAACTCGCATTTAACAGTAAAGCAAAATTGCTAGCCTCTCACATGGATGAGAGATTGGAATCCCCTTTTTCCTAAAATACCATTTAATTTAAAGTACATTCCTACATAATAACATTTTACAACAAAATATAATACAATATACAATACTTATAAAAACATATATATCATACAATGTGATTATGTACCCATACTCAACTTTTGGATACTTATCCTTATATCCTAAGGTTTAGGGTTTAGAACTAACACCCGGACACATGCTACAAGATCCTGCTACTCGAGCCTATGCAACATAGTGCCCAATTGTTTCTTAACGAACGAATACTTGGAAAGAGTATGGGGCTTAAGGAACTAAAAACTAGATACAGTTCCTTGCTAGCAGACCTTGATGAAATTTTTACACTATATGCACATTCATTATGATTTTAGAGCCTTATAACATCTTGAAAAGGTTTGAAAACGTCCCCAAAAAAGTGCAACATTGTGTCAAAAAATTGAAGTGTATGTGGATGCTTTGAAAATAAAATACAATTCCATAGCTTTGTATTTACATTGAAGACATGATGTATATTTTCATAAAACATCCAGCCATGTAGCCAAAAACAATATGAAAGAAATGGGGAAAGACACATAAATGCGCCACAAATAGTTGGATCATTGAGAAGAAGCTTTTGATTTCTAAATGAAGTAAAATATGTTCTCACCAATAAGTGCACCCTCCTCTTCTCTTCTAACAATCTTTATAAAAGTAAAATATGTTCCTTTCATGACTTTCATGTTTATTGGTGATATAACCACCTGGATGATTATCTTCCATATAGATTCTGACCGATAATTTATGCAGATTGCTGTGAAAAGGTTGAAAGTTTGGAGCAACAAAGCAGATTTGGAATTTGCTGTTGAGGTTGAGATACTAGCACGAGTGCGGCATAAGAATCTGCTAAGCTTACGTGGCTATTGTGCAGAAGGGCAAGAGCGTCTAATTGTTTATGACTACATGCCTAACCTGAGCTTACTTTCTCATCTTCATGGGCAACACTCGGCTGAGTGCCTTCTCAATTGGAATCGGCGAATGAATATTGCTATTGGATCAGCTGAGGGAATTGCGTAAGTATTTGAATTCGTATATTTCTCTTTATATTATTTTACTGATGTATTGACATATAGATTATTTCATGCAGCTATCTTCACCACCATGCAACCCCACATATAATCCACAGAGACATTAAAGCAAGCAATGTGTTGCTAGATTCAGACTTTCAAGCTCAGGTTGCTGATTTTGGATTTGCAAAACTGATACCCGACGGTGCAACACATGTAACCACTCGAGTTAAGGGTACCCTTGGCTACCTTGCCCCCGAATATGCAATGTTGGGAAAGGCATCAGAGAGCTGCGATGTCTACAGCTTCGGCATTCTTTTACTAGAGCTTGCTAGTGGAAAGAAACCTCTTGAAAAGCTCAGTACAACAATAAAGCGCACAATCACTGATTGGGCTCTGCCCTTGGCATGCGAGAGAAAGTTTAGCGAACTTGCGGATCCACGTCTGAACGGGAAGTACATGGAGGAAGAGATGAAGATAGTTGTATTTGTTGCACTGATCTGTGCACAGAGTCGGCCCGAGAAGAGACCCACCATGCTTGAGGTGGTGGAGCTTTTGAAGGGAGACTCAAAAGAGAAGTTTGATCTTCTAGAAAACAATGAATTATTCAAGAGCCCTCTGCCTGCCGATTATAATGATGGGTCCGGTGTGGATGATGGTTCAGACTTTATTTCCGAGGAAAAAGAACGGATACAGGTTGTGAAAGAGTTGGAGGGTGAAGGTGGAAAGTGAAATGGAAGCTGAAGAAACAGGTTGTGATTTTAGTCCATAGAGAATGTTGGTAAGGGCTTTTTTACCTACTGAATTTTGCAAGCATGGTTTGTATGTCGTGGAATTCTGAGTGGATGTTTCTTATGTATTTTTTTTTACCCCTTCTCTTTTATGTGATATGATAACTGTTTTTAGAGCATGTTTGGCATATATGATAGAATGGACTGGAATATCATGTTTGCAGATTCCTTGATTTAGCTTAGTAGCTAGAACTCGTGTCCTTAACTAGGAGACTACAAGATTGATTCCTCTCCCCGTCAAATGCATTGAAAAAAAAGAAACCATCAGTTTTGTTGCGCAATACTAAATGTGATGCGACAATGCTAAGTGCTCAGAAAAGTTAATGTGGAAATCATTTAAAATGAATCGAGATCATAAATTATTATTTTTTTTCATCTATGCACGTATTCATTTTCCAAAAATATATTTACAACTCACTGAAGTGTTGTTTCCAGATCGTCTCATCGCTACAATCTTTTTTTTTTTTTTGAAGTTACAAAAAAGTAAAGCTTCTATAACTATGTTACCTCCCATATCAGTAAAGAGATTTCTTTACAAACTAGAATACTAGGTTTGAAGTGTGTTTAGGAAACTAACAATGTCAGCCGAGACTATGTGAACGTATGCTCCCTGTCTGCCTCCACAGTCTCACCCTCCAAGCTGCCAGACTCTTAAGTGGTGAGTCGGTCTATGGTCCTTGTGGTAGTACTCTCGAGGTGTCCCAAGCTTGACCCCATATTTCATGCTCACTGAATGCTTCACTCCCATGAAGTTGTAATTTTGTGGACCATTATCCAGAATCTGAGAAACAGAAGACCACAAAATGACGGAAGTCAAGTCTTGGAATCAGAGGAAAATATCAAAAAAACAGCACTAGTGACGCAAAACACGTCCTTACCATGTAGATACCAAGGAAACAGTCACACAGGAGCATCTGGACCTTCTCGTAATGTGTTGGCAAATAGCCATGAGGATTTGTTCCAGTGTCTTTGTTGGCATGCCCCCATTCGCACCCAGTTGGAATAAGCTTTATGTGCAGTCAACGAACAGGAACCTGGCGTAAAACCACAAGTCAGGATAATGCACATCTCCCCCTCCCATTGCTTATTGTTCTCTAAGATCTGAGCATGGGAAGTGAGATCCTGCAATAAGTAATTTGATTGGGTGAGATGACAAAAACTGGCATAGTAACATCTAATACAAAATTCTATTTAGGACTGTATGTAAGGGTCCTGGAAGGTCGCTAGAAAATTCAAATCTCGCTGGAAAAGTCGTCGGAAACTTCGAATGCCTACCGGAAACTTCGAAAGGCTTGCCGGAAAATTCGAAGATCTTCAAAGATTGCCGAAAATCCGAATTCTCTAGAAATGATGAGAGGCTTAGATTCTTCAATAGTCGCAACTAGGAGAAGGAGATAAGAGATGATAAAGATAAGAAATTAGGTGAAGAAGAAGACAAAATAGTTAGAGAGAAAGAATAATGACAAGCCTCTCATATGGATCTTCAACTTTCACTCTCAAGGTAGATAATGGAGAAGGAAAATTAGTTCTCTCTCCAAAATTATCTCTCCAAAATTCAACACCCTTGTAAAACTATGGGTGAGTTGGTAGGTGCTATTTATAGACACCTCATGATGTAGGATGGAGCATATGTGTAAGGCACATGGGGAATATTCTCTCCAACCACTTTGTCCAAGGAGGTGACCTCTCCGAGGATGAGAAAAATCCTGAAGAGAAGATCAACCTCTCGGGGAATCTTTCTTTTTAGCCATGCCTAACCAATGATCCCCAATCATTCCAAAAGGTCAGGGTTAGTCCCAAAGGACGCCCTGCCACAGAAGGGTTAGGGGTAGTTCAAGAGAACGCCTTGCTGCAAATATTGTTGAGTGTTAGGGACCCCCTAAATCGTGTCACCTTGACCGGATATAGGCCAGTTTAACCGAAGAGTGAATTTATCTCCACTCATTGTCCTCGAGATTGGGTCCTTTGTTCGGATTCCATCACGCCCATGGTTCTGGTGCATAAATCCCGAAAAGCTCCAAGCTCGTAAGTGTTCTGAGACTAATTAATGGAGCGACTTCTAGATTGTATCTGAATTCATTCAAAGCCAACCGCTTCAGATCTCTAGGTTTGTGGATCCGAACCCTTTTGAGTTCGAGCTCAAATAGGTCTCTAAGCTCGTAGTTCCGAGCCCTTTCAAGACTAAGCAATTACCTTGGAGAATGAATCTCTTCCAAAGGTTTCATCTCTTCTAAAAGCAACAATCAACTTTCTTGGACGCCCGTATGATATGGGCCTCCTCAGATGGGTTGTTGGACTTTCTCTAGAGATATAAGCCCGATGGGTCTTCCTCGGCCCAATTTGTTGACTTTCTCGCGGGTCCATTCAATAGAATTCATTTGAGGCCACTTGGTGATAATTTTTCTGGACCCATTAATTTTGGGCTTTCCGATTAGGCTCCGATTAGATTCAATTAATTTAATGGGCTCAAGTTAACCCCTCTTACAGGGATTAGGAAACCACCACATTTCAAACTAGAACGCGGGAGTCTCTATATGTGCTTCAAAAATTTTGGTGGGCACCCCCATTTGTAAATATAATACCATTTTACCCCTCAATCGAACTACCAAAATGACCAAACCCTAGCTCTTCTAAATGAGCCTTTACTTCCACCTCCGCCTCTTCCTCCACCACTGACAGAGACGGCAGGACGGAATAAGAAGGCTGTGCCGCTGGTGGCGGTGGTACAACAGATCCCCCCATTCTCAACGGCATAATATGTACGTTGTTCCACATAATACTGATTGTCTAGTCCATAATACTACAAAGAAGCCTAAAATATACAAAAAATAATAATATGTTTTGTGTTCTTTGATTTAGGAGCTTAGAAGAATTGTAATGACAATTCCTAGGGTTTTCAAAATTTCAATGGTGGTTTTCTATTGAGTGAGACACTTCTTTTCTTTCTCTCTGTTCTCTCAGCCAATACATATATACTAGTAGTTGACACATGCGATGCGTGTGTAAGTTAAATAAAATAAAATATGATGATACTACTTGTCCCAGAGGGATGGGTCGGGCTGATCCACGTCTCCCACATCGTTGTTCGATCGCTGGATCCACAGAGAAACCTGCACAAGAGTCCAACGGGAAACATGAGTCCCCCAGCGAACCCTCCGACGAGCAAGTTAGAAAAGAGAGATCAATGGAATATAGAGATAGGATGATGATAAAGAACTTAACCTTCTCTTTGTCTGAGAAACCTACTTATATCCTTTGTTCATCATTTCCTAGTCCACTCCGACCTGTCATGTTGGCCGAAAGTCTATGCTCTAGCTTTCCTTGTTCATGGTGAGGCTGTTCTGTTCCGACGTGAAGGGGTTATCGCATTAAATGCTGCAGGGAACCTCATTAATGGCTGATGTGTGGTGTAATAACTATGCAGGATCTTTGTCTACCTACGTGGCTAGTTCCTCTCTTGACAAGTGTTTAGATGTCATTGGTTGTTGGTGCAACGTTGGCCTCCAATGATGTTGGGCTTTAGTGTTTGAATCATGCATTGGGTTTTAAGTGATGGACCAAAAACCCCTATGGGCCCACCTATGTCAGTAGTCCCCCGTTCCCAAGTGCAGCTTCAGTCCAACGAAGGGATTAAGAAAGAAGACAGGGGTTGTGGCTGGTCGAGTGAGAGAAGACCGACTGGAAGGAGAGCCGACCGCAAAGGATGACCGAGTGAGAAGGCCGAACGGAAGGTGGGCCGACCGCGAAGGGTGACCGAGAGGGGGGGCCGACCGTGAGGTGGGCCAACCGTGAAGGGTGACCGAGACGGGGAGGCCGATCGTGAGGTGGGCCGACCGCGAAGGGTGACCGAGAGGGGGGGCCAACCGTGAGGTGGGCCAACCGTGAAGGGTGACCGAGACGGGGAGGCCGATCGTGAGGTGGGCCGACCGCGAAGGGTGACCGAGAGGGGGGGCCAACCGTGAGGTGGGCCAACCGTGAAGGGTGACCGAGACGGGGAGGCCGATCGTGAGGTGGGCCGACCGCGAAGGGTGACCGAGAGGGGGGGCCAACCGTGAGGTGGGCCAACCGTGAAGGGTGACCGAGACGGGGAGGCCGATCGTGAGGTGGGCCGACCGCGAAGGGTGACCGAGAGGGGGGGCCAACCGTGAGGTGGGCCAACCGTGAAGGGTGACCGAGACGGGGAGGCCGATCGTGAGGTGGGCCGACCGCGAAGGGTGACCGAGAGGGGGGGCCAACCGTGAGGTGGGCCAACCGTGAAGGGTGACCGAGACGGGGAGGCCGATCGTGAGGTGGGCCGACCGCGAAGGGTGACCGAGAGGGGGGGCCAACCGTGAGGTGGGCCAACCGTGAAGGGTGACCGAGACGGGGAGGCCGATCGTGAGGTGGGCCGACCGCGAAGGGTGACCGAGAGGGGGGGCCAACCGTGAGGTGGGCCAACCGTGAAGGGTGACCGAGACGGGGAGGCCGATCGTGAGGTGGGCCGACCGCGAAGGGTGACCGAGAGGGGGGGCCAACCGTGAGGTGGGCCAACCGTGAAGGGTGACCGAGACGGGGAGGCCGATCGTGAGGTGGGCCGACCGCGAAGGGTGACCGAGTGGGGGGGCCAACCGCGAAGTGTGACCGAGAGGGTGGGGCCGACCGTAAGGTGGGCCGACCGCGAAATGTGACCGAGAGGGGGGGCCGACCGCGAAGGGTGACCGAGAGGGGGGCCGACCACGAAGGGTGGCCGAGTGAAGAGGCCGATCATGAGGAGGGCCGACCGCGAAGGGTAGCCGAGTGGAAGGATCGACCGTGAGGAAGGCCGACCATGAAGGGTGGCCGAGTGGAAGGACCGACCGTGAGGAGGGCCGATCACGAAGGGTGGCCGAGTGGAGGGGCCGATCATGAGGAGGGTTGATCGCGAAGGGTGGGTGATGTGGCGCGGGGCTCGAGAGGCAACGTGACACGTGCTGAAGCGAAGTGGAATAGATAGGGAAGGGGAAAGAGGGCAGTGGATCGTGGTCGTACACGTGGCTGAATCTCGCAGTGGTGGAGGTTAGGCATTGGGCAAAAAGTGAAACGATAGGTCATTATAGGGTGTTGAAAAAACAGTTTTGGTGGATTTGGAAAATTTTCAAACTGGCGAAAATTAATTGTGACCCTTGGAATACA